GAGTCATAGACCCCAGATTGGGAACCACTGAGCTAGGGCATCAGGGCGTTCCCTCCTCTTGCCCAACGGCTGCTATCGTCAATAAAGAAGACACAGAAACTGGACGTCTGAACCTCATAAAAGACTATGAAGTCCTTTATTGTCCTTGGGCATTTCTAACAGCCTGGTTTGAAAGCATGCGAGCCTGATTGGTACAAAGCTAAGCAGCTTCTCTCCCCTAGGCCAGCAATTCACACGCGCTGCCCCAAAATGTTTAGAGGTACAGTTTAATAAATCTTCAAAGCCCTCTGCTGCTGTTTCTTGGGAAAAAACGTCTCTAGCTGATGGGTCCATAGGATATTTTTGTATTCACAGTAAGATTTTCTGCCCTCCTAAAATAGAAAAATAAAATCTGGGATGGGAAACTGGGTCAGCCACAGAAGTAGATTTATCAGGAAGATTCTTGGAGAAAAGTGCAAAGACGAATGGAGAGGAAGCAGAATGAGGAGAGAAAGGTGAAATAAAAAGAATATGGAGCATATTTGGCAGACGGCCCGATGTTGACGGCTGAATGCTCAGCTCTGGTTTTCCTCCCGGAGCTGGAAGGACATCACTTGGCATGGCTCTGTGGCATTTCCGATAGAGAGCCTGACAAACAAACACAGTAAATAAGCTGCGAGGTAAATAAAGCAATCTGCTGTGAAACCCGTCCATCTCTCTGTCAGTCCTGCTACTGAGTGAATCAGAAAAGCAAACTCAGTGTCAGTTTGGGCAAAGATGTTCTATTTCCATCTCACTGAGCATCAAACGCAGCCTGGAGTTCCACATGTGTAAATAAGAAGTGGCAAACATGACATTCTGTTTGTGGGGATGTCTCTTCTCCTGCAGTGCTGACATGTAGACCTTATTACTGCATGTAAATGACCCCCCACTGAGCCATCTAGGGGTACAGTCTGACAAAACAGGTGCAGTACTTTTACCCTGCATGTGTAGGGACACATAGCTACATACCAAGACTCCACAATCAGACACATGCCTTGTCAGAAGCAACTTCAAAGCTTGCAGTTGCAGTAAATTACAAATATAAACCCAAAGTTTTCTGGCTTTGTATCGAAACGGCAGCTGCAACTCAACTACTACGTACATACTGTCACTTTCAATGCTCTTTACCACAATGCATCTGAAATATGTTGTGGAAATTCTCAAAACATGTGAAGGAATTGCAGTTTTCAAGGTCTTTGTGCATTCAGTTCAGCAAATAAAACACAGCTCTATCAGACTGAGATCAAGCGAGTCACTTGACCGTTATAGAACATGCATCTGCTTTACCTTCAAACCTCCTCAGAGGCGTTTACAGTATGTTTTGGGCCATTGCCCATGAAGCAAGGCAGCCACATTCACCTCCCTGCATTTGGTTCAATGTGCATTGACCAATGTGAATCAGGGAGCACTAGTTATTTTTGTGTCACTCTCCCACCTTTCAGTATATGGCATGTTTTATGAGCTGGTTCTAGCTTTCATCAAACAACTTTCTTAAGTGTCATTTCAGTATTAGTTGATTTTCTTTATTTATTATTTAATGTATTTTCTACATTAGTCTAAAACATGTTTAAAGTAACAATGTGTCGTTTTTATCAATAATCTCTGGAAACATCTATCTAACATTGTTGAACATTAATGAAATGATGCCCAGTTGTTGAAAAGTATTGGCGGCTTCGTAACATATAACCATAAAATCGGAAAAAACATGGGAGTGGGTTTAAGTCTCTGAGCGATGCCATATTAGACGCCATATTTCCTTCTACGGGAGCCCGTGAGAACAAAATACATTTACTGATTTGTAACAAACAGTTACAAAACTTTGTCCATTCATAAACATTGTTTTACACATCTTCGCTCATTGCCAGTGATGAAAGGGAGCCTAATGTGCTTGTCATTTTGCTGGAGGTTGCGTCCCACGGATTTTTGGCCCTAATGGCTATCCGTTAGTAAGATATTACTCAAACACATAAATGTTACTTGCATGCAATTATTTAGGTATGTACTGCCCCTTCTTGGCAGGGAAAATACACATAATTACTTTAAGAATTAATTTTGATTCTAATTAGTCAAACCAACTGGCCTAAATCTACTAACAAGTTATTTTTCTATTTATTTCAACTCAATTTGTTTACAGAGTGCCGAATCACAAGTCACCTCAAGGCACTTTACAAAGTAAACATTCCAGTTGAACCTATCAGTGCATTGAGTTCAAGTCATTATGACTCTTATTTTCCTATGTAAGGAAAACCAGAAGACTGCATTGAGTCACTGACTTGTGTCAGTGACATAATGGGCCATTCCCATGTACCGGGTCGGTCCGGGCCAGGTAGCGTAGGTTGTTTACATATCTGGGTGGCCTGGTATTTTTCCGGGCCAACCAAGGCTCATTCTCAGCCCTCTTCTCGAGGGGGTCTGCTTCAGGCCGACCAGGGCCAACACACCCACTGCTGACAGCAAATTCACACCTTCCATTAGAGAAAGCCTCTGATTGGTGGGTAGAATCAGCCCACATGGGCTTAAGACAAGGATGTGTGGAATCAACCGGGCCAGGCTGGGGTCGACTGGGGCTACCCGGCCCGGGCCGACCTGGTACAGATGGGAATGGCCCATTACAAGCTCCATCCTAAGCAAGTATGTAGTGACAGAGAGGAAAACTCCTCCATTTATTTATCATTTTTGCACACTTCACAAAAGCCTGCATTAAAAACGTGATATTTAAAATCAAATAGGCCTTTAACCCGATGATTTGATGGAGAAATTAAAGAAAACAACATTATTCAATGGTTCCCAAACTTTTGAGCCTTTGTTCCACAAAGTAAAACAAAAAATAACATAAACAAATGAATGACTAACATGTAAAAACGGTGCCAATGAACCATATTAAATGCCTTTTTAACCAGTGTAACAATATTTTATTCTTTTTCTTACGTCTGATTTCAAACTACATTTTATTTCTGAAGGTCATTTTTATATTTGTAAATAACCTGAGAATTCAGGGAAAACATGGCTATGTTCAAACTGCAATGGAAAGTGGCCAAAGTCCCACTTTTTTGCCAATATGTTGGGAAATTGTTTTTTAATTTACAACCATCTGACCAGCCCAAATTAGTTTCTTTGTTTTAAACCCATTACTTTACTTACTGAATCCTAAACCAAAGAAGAAATGTTTCAATGTGACCAAAGTCTGAATGGTCACTAAACATTTCATAAGACTTTTACACCATGGATGTGTGACAGACGTCATAATTCTGTGACAAAAATGGTGTAAAGTAGAACAATTTCACTAACATTCATATTTACATCCATAAACGTGATGTTACATTTTCTTTTGCGCATCTGTGAGACTTCAGGACCATGGACAGTTCACACTAGACACTAATAGCATTTTAAAGTGGGATAGGAGATGTTTTTCTGGATGTTTTTGCTATATTTGTTGAAATGTTCTTCACATACAAATTGCAGCCAACAAATTACACATTTTTTCCAAAAAAGGGCTAATTATTATCACCTCGGAAATGTACAATACCGGCTAATCGGTACTGAAGCCATAAGCACGTCTTTAATCCGTTCTCCAAACAGAAAGTTCAGGAAGCCATGATTTAATTGTGACTTTCCACAAAGACAGCTTTCAAAATAGCCAATATTTCTCTTTAATTATCAAACATTTTGCCCAGTTAGCATCCAGGCCTGATAGACCAGCGCTCAGTTCTCATACACGACTTAAACATGTAAAAAAGGTTGTTTGTTCTTTTTACTTAGCACTGATGTATTAACGGTCATCCACTCACCCACCTCTACTTCATCCTCTAAAACGAGTCTTTCCTTTGCTCGACTGGAGCTTTGCAGCATGAATGGGACCGTTCACATTAGCGATGGTTTACACCGTGTCATCAAAGAACACATTACATGTTTGTTTTCGCTGAAGGAAAATGTCTCTTTTGATTAAACCATTTTGAGGTTCAATTCTGTTTTCAGGCAGATGCCAAAAAAAGAGAGAGAGACAGAGAGAGAGAAAGATCGCCCTCTGGAGCCACTAAAGTACCTTAATTGCTGTAGAGGCGATGGCGGCTTTTTCTTTCATCCCTGACACAGCCTTTTCTCCATCCTCCCACTGTTAGCTCAGATCTGCTCTCAGGGAACAATAGCAAAATATATATATATATATATATATATATATATATATATATATATATATATATATATAATTTTACCTCTATCCCCCTACCCCTTATACTTCTTTGTCCTTCTCAGAAATTCACACACACGCACACACACTTCTTTAATTGTACCACATCTCCATTTTTACAAGCACTGTCCACTCGACCTTCCCCAAAAGCTGGATATTATGGTTTTTAGATATTTGCACCACAAAAGACGACGGAAAATATATACAATTCAACTAATTCATCACGAAATGAAACATTGTTCCAGGAAAATTAAACCGTGGAGACGAACCAGCGCTAAAGTCAAGCATCTGCTCTGCCCTCTCCCCGAGGACCTGGGATGTTACATGTTGCTTTGGGTCAATACAGGTAATTGATAAGCTCTCATATGGATATATAGTGATGAATGAAGGACATTTATAGTGTCATAAATCAAACTTCCTCTGCAGCCATACACAGACCACTGTATGCCCCACCTTAATGGGAATAAGAATAAACTCATCGCCTTAAATCAATGACATAGTCAAAGACAGACGCCTATAGGGTTGTGTTATTGGTCCATCACTTACGCTTTATGAGCTCCTCAGAGCTGAGGCAGGGATAGCGTTGCACTGGCTGATCCAGTCATAGATTATTGGCAAAACCATTGATCTGTCAAAGATGGTGCTAGAAACAAGGCATTAATCTCTGAGTTAGATCTTTAAGACCAATAAAAGCAACTTTTATCACCAAAAATTGCAGGAAAATACTTTCCTCTCTGCTAAAAATGCAATGAAAAAATGCTGCCCTCTGGTGGTCAAGAGAGAATGCACAATGTTGAAATGATTTTTTTTATGTAGAAACAAGAAAACAGACACAAAATCACAACTTTTCATTGCAGAAACACCAACTATTGCAACAACAAAGACATTCAGTTGTGCAGAAAAAAACTAAGCAAACTAAATCTTTGGCATTATAAGGTAACACATCCAGCACCTGTCTGCTAATGGATACAGATACATGCACATTCTCAGCCGTTTGAGAGTCAAAGTTTGTTTATCTAAAGTTAAATAAGAGCATGGATTTAAAAACAAAGACTGCAACAACAATTATTATTGTGGCATAAAATATATTCTATGTTGTGGGTCAAAAGTTTCCGTTTTGGCATGCTGTTGTGTATTTATCGTGATTAAAATAGTCTGATAAAAGTTTTAAGTGATAATGTTTTGGCTCTTGACAAAAATAATATCCTAAAGTTGAAACTTATTTCTATTTTTCAAACCTGGGCCATGCAGAAAGACATTTCTCCCATTTTTATATACCCCTTTTAAAGTGTTTCACAAATTTTCCCAAGGGAAAAATAAAAGGTATGATACAAACCCATCACATTCTCCAATATGGAAAGGCCAACATCACTACGCTTAACTCCGAAACCAAAAGCATGTTAAGAATAAACTCCTATAAAATCTGAGAGTACTGTTGTTGTAATAAACTCACATGTTCTTTGCGTGTACATTCGGCAATCCGGTTCCTGCAGGTTTCAGAGATTTACATCATACTCGTCTCCAGAGTGATTTTACGAGAGGTGAGCAGTTATTATTAGCCTCACGCTGACACAATCCCAGCTGGCTTATTCAGCTTCAAAGCAGCTATTCTTGAGAAAGAATCTCAAAGCTTCTCGTTACGGCTGTCTTCTGTTTCAAAGTGGTACGGTTCAATAACTCTGTCAGGTAGCTTGTTTACCAAGCTGCTCTGTTTTCCTGTGGCACGCACACACATACATACACACACGAAGAAAAAGTGCTGGTCAAGAGAGAAAAGCCCAGTCGATCGTTTAGTTCACTTTCTTGTGAAAACTTTTAAACGTTCGTCCTCTTTAACGTCACGATCCACGGAGGGGGGTTTCCTGTTGACGTCCGCCAAACTCAGAGCAAGTCTCTTAGTGAAGAGCGTGTGTGATTTTCCGCAGTATGTGTGTGTCGTCTTCAACAGCTCCTCTTCCAAAGGATCCAACAAGGACGTAACTGGGTCTGAGCCATAGGGGTACTAAAATGACAAAACATGGATGTTATGTGTTAGGGTTTAACTCGTGAACACCCGTAATACATGTAAACCGTGCAACTCTTGAACTTTTGGTTGACAAACCGAACGTCCTAAACTGTTAAAGTGAGCCGATGTCCCGCGGGACCATAAATCTGCTGGAGTCAGTCTGAAGCTATAGGCTTAAGGTCCAGTAATAACCAGAGACGGCAGTACAAGTTTCATGTCTTCCCAATAATGGAGGGGCCTTTACAACGCTCCAAGGAAATCAAACCGGGATTAACATTTTTATGCTGGCTCATTTGCTTCGCAGTTGGCTCTCTGGTATCGGGTCACAAAGAGAATGGTGCTTTTATGAGCGCATACTCGTGCGCGCTCGCCGCTCGTAAAGCTGCATTTACAGTTGTTGTATTGATTTGGAACGGCTGACGGTAATGCTCGCGTGTGGCATCAAACTCTAAATGCACCACCAGCTGTAAAACTTAACAGCTGCTTCTTGGGCTTGGATGTTTGCGACCGGCGGGAGGGAGCAGGTCTGGGATGGAGACGCTTTGTCTGACACTGATGACCACAGGGTATTAGAAATATTAACCAGCAGAATATTAATATCAATGTATCTTCTGAGGACCTTCTTATTCCTCACCTGTGCTCCATTTAGTCATTTTGTATCGAGGTAACTCGAAAGTTCAGAAGGCCTTAAAAGATCCGTTTAAAAACACGTATAGTGCCCGTGGCTTCTGGATGGTGGCTACGTTTACCCCAGCTCAGCTGACTACACACCTGTTCCTCACGGGATATCAGCCCTCACCTGCAGTATAAATATGTTCTCCAACCATTTTCCTTCTTTTAAAGGTCTGATTTACTCATCTTTTCCATAGATTTGTTGCAGTCTCTAGTATGAATGGATGCCTTGTGAATCCTTTTCTATGGGGGGAAAAAAGAAGCTCTGGCGCTTGAGTGGGGGCAAAGAAAAACAGGATTGCAAGTAGGGCTGCTCAATTAATCGAATTTTAATCACGATTATGATCTGAGTTTTGAACAATTATAAAAACAAAACAAGCCGATTATTTGCTCCTCCCACTTGCGCTGCCCTGAGTTGCAAATGAAGCGCTCCTCCCACAGTGTTGACAACTTAGCGACTTTGACGCTATTTCCAACAGCGTTTCAGACCCCCTTCTTGACTTTTTAAATCTTAAAAGTACCTAGCGAACACCTCAGAAACATCTCTGGTAACCCTTAGCTACTTTCTGGATAACTGTCGTCGACGTTTCCTGCAGGTTAGCTAAACACTCCGCCTGCGCTCCGGACCGTTCTTCAGGACATTAGGAAAGGGAATGATGTAGTGATGTGTCAGTCGCTAAAGAAACGGCTCTCGGAGCCGGCTCCCTGTTGGAGTAACCAGAGTGAGTGACACACACACCGCACCTGCGGACTCCTGAGCCACTAAAAACGGCAAAATGTGCGCGTGTGGCGTGCTAAACACGTGCAGCTTGCCACTGATTGCTGTGAGACCGGATTGGGGGGGGTGGGGGGTGCAGCTGTGGTTGGGACAATCATTACATTAACTGATGGACTTGTAAATAAATAGTTTATAAATAAGGTAGAAATAAGTTCCTCACGCTGATAAATAATAACTAATCTCTCTGAGGACACGGTGCTAGTGCACTCTCCTACAGCACCCTGACACGACTCAATAAATGTTATACAACATTTTGTGAACATCAATTTATTAGCAATAAATGCCACTGTATAATTCTTGCTGTCAGTATTTGTAAGATATTGGTATTTGGGTCTGTACTAGTTAGACTTAAATGAGTTAAACCAAGGTCTATAGCCCTTGGGTCATAGACTATGAGCTATAAGTATATTGGTCTTTTTATACGAGTTATTTTAGTGATCATCTTGTTTCTTATTTATTTTTGTCCTGATTGTGCCCTAAGCAATTTTATGACTGAATAAAAACAAATAAAATCAACATAAATAGAATAATCGTCCTAAATAATCGTGATCTCAATTTCAGTCATAATAATCCTGATTATTATTTTTGCCATAATCGAGCAGCCCTAATTGCGAGTCTTACTACTTAATATTCATGATGTCCAAAAGTGTCACCTCTGATTGGCTAACACCAAAGTGACTCTTCAGCTGCCTTTATTTGCTTTACTTACTTGAATAAAAAAAGCAACATTGATGTTTTACCTCCACAAACAACACAAGCCTGAACATGTAGTGGAGTGGCTAATGCTAACAGTTAGCGTCTATTAGCCGAGAAGTGCTTCGACTTCTCCCCTCCCAGCGGTCCCAAGCCAAAGTGGGTGAGGCCATGGCTACGCATTTTCCCTGTGATGTAGATGTGTGTGGCCATCTCTGACCTGACTTGCCACCTATATATTCTAATAGTCCTTTTTTAATATGCTTCTCTCTCTCCCTTCTCAAAGGCTTGTGTGTTCATGTAGGTTTGTTGTTTGGTGAAAGTTTTCAAAATTCTAAGAATTACCAGTTATTTGGGCCAAGTTTGATCAGGTCAAGAAGGCCAAATGTTATTTTTCTAAATAACCGCTAAATGGTGTAAATAAAGTGGTTCTGGTGCTAACAGTAAAAAGTCTCAATAATGGCCACAGACAAGCATTCGCTCTCTGCTCTTTGCCCACACAAAGTGGACTGCAACATTTCAGGTTGTATTGAGCAGCAAAGTTATGAGATAAATGACTGAGCTGAAATTTCCTTTGATCACGTTTTGATTTTGTGTCAGCGTTTAATGTATTTCCCCTTTATTAAATCAGGTGTTTCTGTTTAACTACTGGAAATAGATCAGAGGCAAAACTGTAACCAAATAAAACAGTCTGGTTTTGTCCTGGGAGCAAAGTTTCATTCATTATCTGACTTTGAGAGAAAAAACAAGTACTGAATGGCATTCTTCATCTGAAATCACCCTGAAATCAGGTGGGCTTAGCACCAGGGCTGCAACAGAAAACAACTACAAAGATGGCGTCAGCTCCAGTATGGTGCCATTTAAAACGGCTTGGGCATCAAGCTGTGGAACACATTACCACTGCTAGTGAGGCAAGCACCAACAGCTAGCATTTTTAAATCACGCTTGAAAACTCACTACTTCAACCTAGCTTATACCACATAATTATGACCATCACTTACATCTGCACTGTTTAAAAATGGACTTTACAATATCAACTTCCGTACTATTGAGGTTCTTTTTTTAAAATGTTTTTCTAATTTTTTATTCACCCTGTGTCTTATTGATTTTTAGCTGTTAGTTTTTGGGAATTTTGTTGTATTTCCTTTTTATCTTTTATCTGTGTTCGACATGTTTGTATACCGCCGGTTTAATTAACTAACATTTTTAGTGTACAGCGCCTTGTTTGGTTGTAATGCCTTGTGAATGCGCTTTATAAATAAAATTGGATTGGATCAACTTTAGACAATTTAGACTTGGGCTTTTCTTTGAAACATGAGCAGATAAGAGTCCTTTATATGAAAAATTTTGCATTTGCTTCTTCTATGGTGTATGGCGGACTGTCCCATTGACCGGTTACCATAGTGATGAATGTCACCTTGTTCATTGCTCTGATTGGCCTTGGTGCTGTCCAATTTGTGCGTGGACACAGTTTAAAAGACAACCGTACAGTCCACCCAACGATCGAGTTCTGTTTATGGGTCTTGGCCAGACTATAAAGTTGCACATCGAGGATGGCTCACCAAGCTAGCCATGATTTCACCACTGCAGTTTTGTGGCCATCAGGTTTCAGCAGTAGATACATCTTGACTCCTGGGTTTGTGAGGAGACTCTTTTCATAGGATGCCAGGAAAAAAAGGTTGATGTTGGGTGAAGTTTTGGGCCAAAACAACATGACTTCAGCCTTTTACGGAGATTAGGAAAATGAAGCAAGTAGTGCTCGCAGCAGAACCACAAAGGCGGAGCTGCACCAGAGTCAGCCCCGCCCATTCCATCAGAGTCAGTCCAATTCCTTCCAGTTGTCAGACTTAATAGCATTCTGGAACCAAAGAGGGTGTTATAGCTAATATCATCTAAAATGCAAGATTGAAGACTGAGTTGAGAGGTTAACTGAACCGTTTTTGTAAAGGTTTCATATAATTAAAAATCTAACTTTTGGAACTTTTTACCAAGTTATATTGTCATTTCCTTATAAGAAATACGCCAACGCCATTTTTGGCCTCATTCACACATTTTCCTCCCATCTCAGCTTCAATTTGGTCCTCTCCTCCGAAGCGGGTCTGGTCTTGGTTCTCAAATCTGGATATTCTGTGAATTTTCTGACAAATTATCTCTGAAATGACTTCTACTGAGACACCGCTGAAAAACCCTACATCCCATCTACAAAAACACACTGGATGGCACAATTTCATGTGACGCCACTATCTTGTTATCAGATGTAGTGGTGAAGTGGTTGTGCAGTTAGCTTGACATGTAGTTTTGCGCAGGTTCGCCTCCCGGTAGCGGCGCAAACTTTTTTCTTCTTTTCCAGCTACACTTGCCAGTACTATGTTTTTAACCATTTATTGGTATACCGTTTACAATATAAGGACTAATGTGTTTTTGTATTTATTTATTCGTTTATTTAGCCAGTGTGAGCCCATTTGTGAGCAGAGTTTCAACTAAAATGTTGTTTAGGAACGACCAAATTCAAACAACTTTTAGAGACATAAATATGTTGCAGAAAATAAACATTACAACTAAAATATAAACAAATTAAATGTTTCAGCTGGCTAAATAGATTGCTGCCGACCCCACTGAGAGTGGAACCAGCATCAGCAAAGGGGAAAGCAAAACTTAAGTTTGACGATCTTGCCACTAGACTACCAGAGCCTACTAAACAATTGTCCTTACATGCTGTCGTAGGCCGCTTTTGTTGGAGCGGCTGTGGACAGATATTCGCTAAAAGAAACCTTTTCATTTCGGGATATATTCAGGCTTTGTCATGTAGCAAGTTATATTTATCTTGCTTAATTGGAGCATAGAACATAGCATTTACATTTGTAAAGTAGTAACAGCCATAATTCACGTGGGTCAGGTTAGTTTGCAATAAAATAAAAATAAATAAGAACAGAAGAAGTCAGTGGGCTAGGCTGTTTGAGTGAGTGGGCGGGGCTGACTCTGGTGTAGCTCCACCTTATGGTGCAGCTCCGCCTTTGTGGTTCTGCAGCAAGCACCCTCTCAGATGAAGTGCCAACCAGCTACTGACATCTGTGATCCACACTCTTGTAGGGGCTGAACAAAAGGAGCACCAGCGTTCCTAAAAGGAATAAACCATTTCCAGATGGCTAGTATCCTCCTGGTAAACTCAACTTGACTCACAAATCTATAAAAGTATCATTTTGGGAGGAAATGTGTCCGTGTGTTTAGCACCTCGGGTTAATCCTGGTGATGCAATCGATCCTGCCCTATAAAGCCATCGTTTTAACTGCAGGCCATGGATGAGGTATAGAAAAGCCATCAGCCTGATGTATGTTCAATAGTAAAGCAATGAGACCCGCAGTGTTGATGGCTTCATTAAGTTAATTCCACTCATCTCATCAATATCATTAAACGGTGGGTAAGCAACGCATAAACATCCTCATGGGGGGATGAGCTTTCACTCCAAACACCTGCCAAAGGTGCAGACTTGTGTTCTCTGGTGATCTGAGATCCAAAACACGTTTGGTCTTTAGGGTCAGCAGCAATCCAAAATCTAATCCAGGAGAGTAAAGCATGGAGCGAGTGGGTTCACCGGGGTCATAAAAGGCCTTTTGAGCTAAATTACACCCACAAGATGTTGAAAAGTCTAGTCAGATTCTCATTTTTAAACTCAGACGCACCCAAGAGACTTTGAAAGTGGGGACGCCGGTGCCTTTCACTCACTGGTGGAAACTAAAATCGGAATGAAATGTGAGATAATGGCAATGAGAAACGGTTTCTAATCAGTAAGAAGTGACTCATCCATTCTTTCCTCGCCACGTAGCCTCGACTTGAACTCAAAACAATCCCTAGGAATAGTCTTATCCAGTGAAATGAGCAGTAAATCAGTAGGAATGAAGGCAGGACTAAAAAACTATAAGAATTGTAAATTTAGGTTTTTTTAAATAAATAAAAAAAAACATCACCCAACGATTCCAACTAAGGATAGACCGATATATCGATTAACCAACATATCAGGCCAAAATTTAGGCAAACGTTAAAGTCCCACTAGTTGTCACACACCAGTGTGTGTGGCTTGTTCTCTGTATTTGACCCTTGCCCTGGGGGAGCGGCCGCGCTCGGGAACCATTTGGTGGTTTAACCCCCAATCCAACCCCCAAAAGCTGAGTATCAAAGAGGGAGGTACTGGGTCCCATCTTTTGAAAGTCTTTGGTATGACCCACCGTGGATTAGAACCCACAATCAGGACGGCCACTGGCATGGCAGCCTTACTTGTATAGCACGTTTCACACACAGAGGCTATTTAACGTACCCATTTACCATTTTTACAACACAAAAAAATAATCAGCATCGGCTGATCTACCTCTTTATTAGAGCCGGTTTAAAGGCAGCCACATCCGTGGGTAGACTGGCACTGCTTCCAAATGTTATTTAAATAAATGTTCAAGTACCTGAGAAATATCTGCTTCATAAATGCTGCAGGGTGCAATTATCACTATGTTGTGTGCATTTTTTATACCATTTTATCTTTATAGAGATCTGTGCCTGTAAGTGGAGAGCTGCTAATGAAATGTTGTCATGCAGATGCAAAGAACTCTAAAACTTTCAAAAAATAATGTCAGCTCACATTTCTTTTTATTCACCTTTTTTCTTAGTCAGTTTATGGATTTGTTTGATTGACTTTGGTTACATGTTGGATTTTAATACAGTGTAATGCACAAAATTCAGATAGTTGTTTTTTTTATTTTTAATCCAGCTGCATATATCGGCCATCGGCAATAGAATAACCCACATCAGTCTTTCTTAGACGATAATTAAATTATGGAAACAACTATTATTGAAAACAGTACCAAGAATTTAATATAGAAAAATAAGATCTGGGAAGTGAAAAGACAAACAAGTGAGCAATTCAAAATAGAAATCTACAAGAGTATCGAGTGGTGCAAAAGCCACATTTTCTGAAACACACTCACCTGTTTTATGGCCTCGTAAACGGCCTTAAAAGCCGGTTGTTTGTGGTCATGGTAAACCCCTCTGTTTCCGTGTAGCATGTAGATGCCGTCCTCCTCCGCTGAGGCACAGTTACTGCCGTAGATGCAATGGTCCGGGCGATAGTTCCACTTACAAGGAAACTCCAGCAGAAACTCTAAGAAAACCAGTCGTTTATTCCTTGTGTTCAGACGTCTGTAAGGAAATCTGTACCTTAAGGAGCGACACCTTACCAGGGTTATAGTGGAAGATGATATTTAGAAGGTCCTGATCTCCCCAGGTTATATTGAGTTTGTACTTCTGGAGCAGCGGCATCAGCAACTCCTCCCAGCGGAGTCCCACTGATGTCATATCATTCTGTCGACACAGAGGAGCAAAGGCTGTTTTAGTTGTAGACGTAGATACAGGTAAAGAAAAAAGCATCTTGTGATTAGAATTGTCAGCACCTTGAAGAAAGCGCTCCTCATCCTCGTCATGTTCATAAGCATGACCCCTGAGTTGATGCCTGTTCTGCCGTAGAAGGGATGCCGGGCGAAGCGGTTGTACCACGCAATCCGGGGCTCCTCGTGCTCTGGGGACATGGCGGCCAGCTGGGAAGGATTAAACTGGGACAGGAACGCCCACAGGTGGTCTACGGGCTGGAGGAAGAGGATGTCTGAGTCGACGTATATGATCGAGTCGACGTCCTTCAGGATTAGCTGCAAACGGTACAGGGAAAACTGATGATGATAATTACAAATAACATACAAAAACAGATTTATGATGCAATTTTGTGTGAATCTCTTGGTTTTATTAGAGAAATAACTAACATTTCCCCCTCTATGAGGAACTCACAGGTAAGAAGAGCCTCTGAGAGGCACAGGGTTTGAAGAGTTTCTTCCATTCAGCTGCATTCTCACTGGGGAAGCTGATGGAGTAGATGGAGTAGTTGTACTTACGGCGAATGAAACGAGGCCACGACTCCAACTGAAACACCGATAAGAACGCACTGTAGGGAAATGCACACCTTGAAACATTTAAGGCATCAAAAACAGTAAGAAATTCTCCTGACAGCTTCCGTGAAGCTGTCGTGCAGCTGATCTTCAGCAAAGATGTGCAGGTGGAGGAACTTGATGCTGAAAAGCACGGCAGATTTGATCATGGTGAGTGTCTCCTGCAGCCTCTCCCCACAGGCCACCACGGCCAGGTGCATGGCAGGCTCGCTTTTGATCCCAATGCTGTTCCCAGCAGCTTCACCCTGACTGTGCTGACGCATTATGTACCTGAAGAACAGCGAATTAGTAAAACTGTAGTCAAAGCCATCTTGCACACAATAGTTTTAGATGTGCTTGTGGTTAGAAAGAAAATAAAATACAGTTGTACTTGAATCTGAAAACACTTTATTGCCAATATAAATAAAATGATTAACACGGCAACAGCGACCTCTAGCGGCTATTTTAAAGTAATTTTATTTAGTTGCACATCCTAGCTTTCTAACACACATTTAAATAACTTTTGGGTAAAAAAGTAAACTCTAAAAATAATAGGAATTTTGCAGAGGTCCAGTGTAACAAATTTATTCAGATGTATTTAATAAAAACACCGAATATGGCAGATTAGTGTAAGAAATTAGACAGTAAATATGCCAGATTTTGTTTGAGTGTGCACCTAAGCAGAGGTACTAAAGTATTAATAAATATATGTATGTGTGTGTGTGTGTGTGTGTGTGTGTGTGTGTGTATTTTGGTTGCACACAAGCGGTTCCGCAGCGAGCACCACTTGGAGAAGCGTCCAGTCTGGCTTACATTCCTTTACATCAGTGGTGCCTGGTGTTGTGCATGTGATGGTCATCACCAGATTTAACCTCCACCTATTTTAACTACAGTGGGTGTTTACATATAAATACGTTCCCTGGTTTTAGACGGTTGGAACCTCCTACCTGTGGTACAAGTGGGTGTTCGGGGGCCCACTTTTGTCCGCAGACCCTCGCTTGACTCCGGCACCTCTCGGTGGGATGAAGACCCTCGCTCCGTTTCCTCCGACCGACACATCCGAGTATAACAGCTTACTGTACACGTAAAGACCCGAGAACACGGCGAACACCGTGCACAAGAGCAGTGCGCGTACGTAACGCCGCATTATGATGTCTGAAAACTCATCCCAGAGCTAAAGTCATGACACAGAAACTAACGTGACTTAACTAGCGGTCAAGTTGGACGCACTGTAGACATACTTCCGGTAAGTGTTTGGAAAACAAGTCACGTTTGAAGCGCAGCCATCTGGTGGTCATTTTATGTACTGCATTTACATAATTCCTGGACAGTTCACCAGCACATGGGCCATGTGTGTGTGTGTGTGTGGTGGTGGTGGTGGGGTGGGGTGGGGGGGGGGGGCAAGTGGGTCTGTTATCCCAGGGGTAGGAGGGAGCTCCAGAAAAGCGATGAAAATGAACAATCCTGGTGTGTGTGTGTGCGTGTGTAACATCTAAACTCCCCAGGCAAGACGGATAGCCAGCATGCATGAGAGACCATCACACTATTTCAAATTTACTAGGTGATTGTACTTATTTTTTATGTAATAAACAAGCTATTCACTACTATGAGAAATATGTCCAAAGTGGTTCTGAGCCACGTGGACTCACAATGAAAAGTGAATTCTGCAAGATCAGTCAAAATTCTTAAACATGATGGTCACAATATTTACCACATTTAATTTAATCCTCATTCTGTCCTTTTAATTATCTAAAACAACTGCCACATATTTTTATTCTGTACTAAAATGAGAAATACTGTTCTAATTTTTTTATAACGCACTTGAATCGAGAAACCTGCATATGTCCATACATATATTATTGGTATTTATGTAACCAAATTACCTAGTTTTAGTTTCATAAGTAAATCAATTTACACACAGTACAACAAAATTAATTCCTGTTTACTTTTGTGGCCCCAACCAGACTTTTATTTTGAAGGCTGGACAAGAAGCTTCCGGCCGATTCTCTGTTGTATTTGTCCACAATGATGGAGGTCTTGCAGGCCGCCAGGAGACTCTGTGGGGGAAGGGTGGGAGCAAAAAGTGAATAGCTTTCCCCCTGAAGAGACCCATTCAGTGTGGCTTATTGAGACTGGTGCATTTGACACGCAGACCTCAATGTCAATTGAATTTTCATTAAGTGTGGGAAAATAGTGAAGATGATTAATGCAAACACACTAAATAATCAGTGTTTATACAACTGGAGGTGAAGAGAAACCAGAAACAAAACACAACAATGTTTCAGATATCAGAACACACGAATGTTTGTTTTTGTTTTGCAAAAACTGTAACTGGAGACGAAACCTGCTTGTGTTGTGAGACAGATTAAACCGTTACGAGTAACTCCCTCTTCAATAGCTTAAGGGAGGAAATAAAACACAACCAAGCGTGCATAGGCACGTTTGCAGTCTCAAAGCAGCAATAATAGGCGTGCACGTGTAATAAACCAACAAGCTTTTCTTGTTTTCAATTTCTTATTCAGACATGTAATGAACAAGTTGACAGTTTTAACAAATGAGGATGACAAAGCAAACAAACAAAAACAAAACTGTTATTGAGTGACAGAGTGGCCTTTTAAGAGTCCTTTCGATTGTTTTTTACACCACAAATTAATGTTTCTCCGAACAGTTCTTACTGAGCGCGCGCGTCTAGTCCCAGCTAGATCAGCGAACCCCAGAGATGACAAACAATATTCACAAACTAAGAGGCAATAAAGCCTGCCCACGATATACCAAGACTTTAATATCATCATGCCATGACGGTTGTGCGCTAAAATGTTAGGTAAAAATCTCGACAACACTGATATGTTGAATAATACAACCACACCAAAAACACTGCAGTATATATACTTTTAGAAATAACTATGCTCTCTGTGTAATTACTCTAAGATATATTGGTTGTTGTGTAGTGAGGCTGATTTGTGTTGTGTACGCTGGGAGATTGGTTTCCTCTAAAGCTCTGTCCGTCACCCCCACCCTCGTCAGTTCGTGTCCAGAACTTGTCCGTTCTGCATCGCAAGGGGGGGCTCGGGGCAGAAGCCACCCAAACAAACGCGGCCCTGTTCTGTGCAGCACAGGGAGATTAAAAAGGAGCACATGGTGTCATTTTCAGCTACTGTCAAGTCACTGATTAGGAATATAATCGACTTGGCTCTGTTGTAAGCGGGAAGCTTGTTCTGCAGCGGCGTTTGGCTCCGTCAACAAGGACTAACACGTTCCTTATGTCAGAGCAACTTTAGGCTGGGGCTGTAAAATCTTCTTTTTAAAATTGAGAGAAGTAAAAATGACTTTTTGCCACAATTTTGCTAAAACCAGTAGTAATAAGTCAATAGTCCTCAAGTGGGCGACTAGTTTACTAGCAGTGTAGTGACTTGACTTGGGTTTGCTTTGATAGTTCAGTTCTTTGCTGCTTATTCTGTCAAACAAAAAATATTTATTTCTGTTATTAATAATAGACACAAATTTGGTCAAATGGCTTGTTTAAAACCACACTTTGCAACTTTTTCACATCTTTCAATCATTTTCTTGAACCAGTATGTGCTAAAATGACCCTTTACAGGGCTAATGAAAGGTCACTCAGAGCCCACCGCCCTCTGTGGCCAGAATGTCACACTTGCAACTTCAGAGTGGCGGGCCGCTCCCTGCTGGACTTAGTAAAGTAGAGCTGACATTCCTGGCTCTGCAGTCTGCTTCCAGCACGCTTTCTACATGTTTTAGATCATAACACAGCTGAATTGCTTGATTTAGTGATGAACCGCTCCTGTCGACACTAACGAAGGCTGGGAGACATTTCAGCTGTTAGACTGAGGCGTTAAAAAGACAAACGCACAGCGAGGAGATAAGTTTCACTTTTGGTTTGACTAACAGACACCAGGGGCTGCTAAGAGCAAGCCAAAACTGCTTAGTATCCCTTTAAGACTAAAAAGTCCAAATTTATAACTTGGGAGTGGAATGACTTGAAATTTGGTCCAATTTCTGCCATGTTGACTTGGATAAAGGGATTTAAAAGGGCCGACATCTGATGTGCCTTTTGCAGCTACTTTTTGTCACGTAGTCAGTTTAATTTGTAGGAAAACGTGAAACTCGCTGCATTTTGGCTGATGGATGTTTGCTTTGTAAAATGATTCTTCCAGTCAAGACATTAAGAAACCCTTCCAGGGATTTGGTTTCGTTTAGTTCAGTTTGTCCAACAAGGTGTTTGTGGTGTAATTGGCATGACGTCTACATCGATTCCTTTTACGATCTACCTTTTTATGAAAATTTTATTCTTAGTCTGTTTAATTTGATCTTACAACCCAGACAAAGAAAAGCTTTATAGGTAAAGACTTCTCAATTAAATCCTGGTTTTTATTAATTAATATATTTATCTGAAATTGGTTTCATCTGAAGATCATTGAAGGAGTAGTCCAAGGCCGATTCTGGTCCTTATTTTGCTCGTGTGGTCTATCTGGTATATGTAGTTCCCTTTAAAATAGGTCAAGATTAGTCTGAGTCAATGGTGGGAAAGATTTTCCATCCCTAAATGGCGACCTGATGCAAAGTTCAACACAATGACACCAGGTTCAACCTTTCAAATCGCACTGTGCAGTTCAGCAAAGTCTCTTTAAGTTCATAACTATCGCTCTTTTATCGCCAAACCGGATCCAAAATTAGAATCACCTGGTTCCAGGAGTTCAGTCTCCATGCTGTGTTAAAATAAAGTCTCTACAGCAGAGGAGCTTCAACAGGAAAAGCTCCGCGTGTCAAGATCAGGAGTCCGCTTGGTCAAAAGCTCAGTGACGAGACACTGAAAAGACAAGTTTCACACAGAGGCAGAAAAATTCCACACGGGGGAAGAGGAGGTCACTCTGTTGGCCACTGCTGACGATGGTGGTGGTATGCCTGTACATTTCTTTGTAAAGGAGGAAAAGAAACGAACCGTGATGGGAGTCACTCCAACAATCTGTCCAAAGCTTGTCCCAAATTGTTGCTCGGATCATTTCTAATAAAGTTTCTCACAAAGATCAGAATGTTTGTAATGAAACACTCTAGCAGCAGACTTTGGAACAGTGCTGCATCCTTCTGATTACGCAAAAATGATCCCAATTTAAAATGTAAAACTGCTAAAAACAACCCAGAAAAGGGTTTTCATATTGCTTCAATATTGCAAAATTTCATGGATGTGGAGATGAGACTTGGATAAAAAAAAAAAGTTAAAATCCTCTTGAAAGTTTATCTAAAAAAGGTTATTTTAAGTGACGTTTGTGTAGCGCTGAAGAAAAACCAGGAAGCTCCACTGATGATCCGTGGACCTGCAGAGAAGATGTTGGGCATGGAGGCCGTGAGTGAAGGATGGTGGGGGTGCTCAGTGGGACTCCCCATTGACCAAGCTTCCTTCTCCCCGGGGTGAGGAGGAGCGGGAAAGGCCTCTCTCTGTGTTTTCTGACCCGGAGCCGTTCTGACTGTGGTGGTCGGCCGTGGAGGCGGAGCTGGAGGAAGTGGCGGAGGTGGACGTGGGCTTGGCCTTCTCCTTAAAGTCTGTTATGATGACCGTCAGGTCTCCAACCGTCACCTCCAGGTGCTGGGCGCTGCTCCTGTCGATGTTTTTTAATCTTGGCCTGATGAGTGGACAGAACAACAAAGGGCTTCAGATTCAACTACAAAATAAAACACTCTCTTCCCCAAGTAAATGTTGTACAGGGGTGTCCAAACCTTTCAACACAAGAGCCAAAATCATCCACTTAGTAGCTAGTAGTGGGATATTTTTATATTTCAAACAATGTAAAATTACTTTCATGGTTAATTTTTTAATTTGTTTATTATTTAAAATAAATTTCCTATCTAAAACAAAATACTTCATTATACAAATTCATGATTTTATCTGTTCAAATAAATTGTTTATTTTACTTTATTTGCCTCAAAATAATCATTAAACATAAACATAAAAACATTAATGTCTATAAGAAGTGTGACAATACATTTATTTACATTGATAATCAATCAATCAATCAATAACATGGTCATCAATCTAAAATGCAAAAAGGAATAGAATATATATTTAACAAACGCACATTTATTTTGAAAATTGCTTTATTTTGAAGTTCCACTTAAACACCGTTTTCTACCTGTTTCTGCACACCACCAAGTACTACAGGTGTTGACCAGTTTAATCAATACATTTGCAGTGGTCTCTGGTCGGAATGAATGCCTTCTAAGTCAAACTCTGGGGAACAAAAATTCAGAAGCGCTTGAATCAGGAAGTACATGTCAGCTGGAGGAGAAGGTAACAGACGGCAGGTTTTGGACTCTTTTGCTGATATTTGGACATCTCGCCTCTGATTGGCAATAAGCAACGCGAGCCTAGCTTTAATTCTGTTTGCAACGTGGACATTTTATCTCCACAAATAACACAAGCCTGAATGAGATCTGCTGTGATGTGAAGTTGCTAATGCTAACGGTTAGCTTCTACTAGCCGAGACGTTCTCTGCTGTTTCCTGAATGCCAAACCAACAACCTTCCACGTCGTGAGTCAAAATAGGCGAGTCCATGAATGTTAAATGAGAATGTGACATAGATCTGTCCAGCTTTTAAATCCTAGAGTTTCACCGTCTACTATCGATAGAAAGCTAATGCAAGAGATAGGTGTAGGAGACTTTTTTCATACTCAGCCTGCATGAAACACTCTGTGACGATTATAATCAGAAAAAATCCTTAAAATATATAGTTTTCAGTGTCCCTTTTTAGCGGCATCATGACGAGCAATAAAACAGACTGGATCAATTTGACAGAATGAGATGTCAGCGAAGATCCAATCATAATCCACTGTATCAAAATAATACATTATCAAATGATAATAACGACAAAACTAGTGATTCACACCCCTAGTGTGTCTACCTGCATAAACAGCATAATGAAGTGAGAAAATACCCAAAGGGGGACAGACAATATTGCTCCGAGGGCCACACTTTGGACAAGCCTGTTCCAATACATTGTGAGTTTGTAAAGATATTGCTGTGTTTACCTCATCTTCTTGTGACTGTTCTTCTTCAGTGTTGACTCCCTTTCACTCTTGTCCCTCTCAACTCTCTCCTTCTTTTCCTTCTTGGGCTGAGATGGCAACACAAACTGCTGCGTTACCTGCTGCTGAGAGACGAGCTGGGAGACGGGGCGAGGCTTCCTGATCCGGTGGGGTAGTGAGGGCAGAGATGAATAAAGGAGACAAAGTGTGGAAGATTAATGAGAAGGAAAATCCCACACAGCACACGGCCCCTCGCTGTAACCAGGAGCCGTAGATGGTTAGACTGGTGCCATGGAAATGTTTTGAACACCAGCAGAAAGTGGTAATGGAGGCAGAATGCTTAAGGAAAAAATCCCCCGATTCAGTCATCCGAGGGACGTCCTATTTCTAGACACTCCCTACACTTTAAGGGTTATGTGTTGACAAAACTACACCTATGGAGGTACATGCAAACATGCAGTTTAAGGCATACATCAGAATGCAACTCAGCTGTGTGTGTGTGTGTGTGTGTGTGTGTGTGTGTGTGTGTGTGTGTGTGTGTGTGTGTGTGTGTGTGTGTGTGTGTGTGTGTGTGTGTGTGTGTGTGTGTGTGTGTGTGTGTGTGTGTGTGTGTGTGTGTGTGTGTGTGTGTGTGGTGCTCATCACAGCATTGCACTGCATTTCACTCTTCTTACAGTTGGCTGCACAAATATAAGCTTGAAGCCCAACTCATTCTGATAAACATTAGGTTGTAGCTCATCGAGTGTGACATCTCAGTGCAGGTTCAGCGCATGTGAGTTAATGGAGAAGTGATGTTGTTTGTCGTGAAAGCTCTACGTATGGACAATTTTCTTGAAATGGAATCAGCCCAAAACATCCAGATAAAAGCTTTGGGTCAATGACTTTCCAAACAATTGAAATCTCAGAATCATGAAGTTTTAGCTTAAATAAAGCTGTGTCTTCTCCAGGATGACAGTTTTTTTAAGTGTTGTACTTTTGCATTCAGTTCTTGGGAAAGTATGCAGCCAAGGTTACTAATATGACTAATAAGTTGGACACTTTATGTAACTTGCCATATTGCTGCAAAATTTGTATGGCTTCACTGGGAGAAGAATTTTTCTGTATCGTTAGCAAGAACATTTGTGAATTAAAAATATTTTTAACTCAACCACAAGAGACCAGATTTTAGACAGCTAAGGCTTCTCAACAATAGGGTTGCAGGATTTCATAATTCTCATGAATAACAATCATGCGTTGAGTTGGGAAACACTGCATTGTTTCTCCTTTACAGCCAAAGGCAAATATGGAACACCACTTTTTAAGTGGAGCCTCTAACATGAACACAAACGACCACTAGATATTTAAACTATGATCTGTGTTTACTTGGTACCTGGTAACATTTCTAAATCTATAAGCCACAGTAGCGAAGTAATAGTTTACTTCAGAACAATGTTTTTTAGAAAATAGTCTTTTCTTTAGGGCACAAAAATTATAGTAAGTTTTCAGAATTATGGGAAGCCTAATGTATCTGGAATTCAAATTTTACAGTGACTGCAGTGCCAGATGTCCACCAGCAGGTGGCCGAATTTAGATTAAACTACTAAATATTTTATCTTAGAATAAGAATAAATATTGAGAATCATAACATTTATATTGATGGGAACATTTCAGATAGGAATCAAAGAAATAACTTTCAGATATTATGTAGATACCAACTGGTATTTAAATAATAAGTTACATTAAACTAATGCGACCCCAGTAGCTATAAAGGCAGAGAAAAGCTGCTAAGTGATCACGGATGTTCAAGTAAGGGCTCAGTGCACACAACAGTGTTTAATCAGTAGCGTTGATGCTTGGAAACGGAATGGAATGGAGAAATATTGCTGGATGTCACCACAGTGTGGGTGGGGGTCATTTTATAAATAATGGAGGCCAAATTTTTTATGCACGCCATACAACGCTGCAGTGTTTAGCTGTCATTCTGCCTCCTTCACTCTAAGTGGCTTTTAAAACACCACCACAATCATGTGAGTTTTGGAAGGGGTGAAAATTTGCATCTTTATAAAGTATGACCAAAAAAAGCATGTCTGAAATGAGGAATGTGATGAAAATAATTTTGTCAGTTGCATAGTTTTTATGATTGTTTTGAGTCAAAACTGAAATGCAATTGACAGAACAATTCAGTTACTATCTACAGCCTAAAGATTTAAAATTCTATAATGTCAAATTACTTCACAATTTCACCTCAAGAGCTACAAACATTTCATGACTCTCTTGGTCAGCTTGCTTCTCACACCAAACCTCCTGTCAGGAATCTTGGCGTGACCTTTGACCCACCTCTCACCCTGGATTCTCATGTCAGTTCTCTTGTTCGCTCTTCCTTCTTCCATCTCAGGAACATTGCTAAGCTGAGTCCCATTCTGTCCCGCTCTGAACTTGGGACAGTTCTCCACACCTTCATCTCCTCACGCTTAGACTACTGTAACTCTCTTTTCACGTGTCTGAGCAGAACCTCCCTGAACCGTCTACAGGTGGTTCAGAATGCCTGTGCTCGGCTTCTGACCAAGTCCTCCAAACACACCCACATCACCCCGCTTCTCCTCCAGCTTCACTGGCTGCCAGTCAACTTCAGGGTTCATTTCAAGATCCCGGTTCTGGTCTATGGGGCCTTACATGGACAAGCACCATCTTACATTGGTGATCTTCTTGGTCCCTACACCTCCAGCAGGTCCCTGAGGTCCAGTGATCAAAGCCTACTGGTTGTGCAGCACCAGGCTAAAGACCAAAGGTGACAGATCATTTGCTGCTGTGGCCCCCAGACTCTGGAACTCTCTCCCCCTGAGCCTGAGATCAGTGGACTCAGTGGTCTCCTTCAAAAAGCAGCTGAAGACTCACTTGTTCAGGCTGGCTTTTGTATGACCTTCTTCACCCCTCTCTCTTTATTCTGCTCTCCCCACCTATTCCACCTTCCTCAGGATCCACTGATTTCCCTCTTTCCTGTTCACTCTCTCTCTCTTTCTTAACATTTTTTAATCACAATTGTCTATTTTTGCTCATTTTAAATATATTTTTAAACATTTTCTAAATGCTTTTTTATATTTTTACATTTTTTGTTTTTGTGAAGCACCTCGTGATTTTTATCTTGAGAGGCGCTATAGAAATGTTACTTTCTTCTTATTCTTTTTAGAATAACTGAAACCTGGTTTATTTCTGACAGACTAACAGACACAGCTAAGTACCAGTTCTAATGGTAATTTCTCCACCCAGCATCAATGTCTGCAGTCTTAACGCTCATTCATTATGCAGCTGGTTTATTTATGCATGAACGTGGTATTTTTTCTGTATGAAAAACTTTCAGAAACACACACAAATATGCATTTGCTGCACTAAAAGATGAGCACAATTCAAAAGCGGGTCTAAGTGAAAATGTTTCGTCTTCAGAGACACACTAGAATCAAGCATCAACACATCCACCGAGGTGCATTTATGTGCGCTACTGCACACATGCATGCATACAAAAGTAAAAGCAAAATTAAACACACACACACACACACACACACACACCAGTGAGCAGATGACACAAGGCCCTGTTAGGGGTCCTGTTTATAAATGGAGCTAAGAATGAAAGAAAACCTGTTTCATAACTCAACAATGTCACTCAACCATGCCTTATGATTTTAACAAAAGGCCTTTAAACATATGAATGTATCAGAATGTTGTAATTACATTTATCTAACTGTTCTGTAAACCATGGCTTTGTAAAACATAAATGTCCCTGTGTGATTGTCAAACCTAATCAAAGGGGTGGGAACAAAGATAAAGAGACCACTTTAAAAGCACATGACCCAACAGGAACTATCTGCAGAAATGGTTTGGGCACTCAGACAAGTAACATTGCAGATTTTTAACTAAAATAAGCTTTCATGGGTGAAGTTTATTTTCACTGACTAGTGGTGAAAATGGTCAGCTTTTTATTCAAAGCTGTTGTTAATCGGTTCTGGGGTGACCTAATTTTGGACCCAGCATCAAAGAGACTCTTTTCGGTGCCTTCACAGAACTAAATGTGTTGTATGGCTAGAATGAAATGCAAATGGGTTTGGTGGCCTATATAACTGTCTGATAAGGAGATGGTGAGATACGCTCATCTGTCTGACTTGGCAGCAAGATGCTGCAAAACCGCTGACATTCATTTCTTATAATTCAAATTAAGGGTCATCACTTCTTGAAATTTTCAGGGATTTTGTAATACTTAAAATGCTGTTTTAACCAAATGTAATGCTCTTCTACTTCAGACTGCTGCAAAAGGATCAACCAGCTTCCATAAATAAATAAATAAATGCACTCAAAAAACAAAGTGGCTAAGTGTTGTATAATCTCCTTTTGTTTGTACTCAACAAATTTAGTTTGAGTAATCACACAGCAAATTACTTCTGCTCACTAAAGCAGTAAATCTGAATCTAGTTCAAAATACAATGATGAAAATGTGAGTTAAATAATATCCATGAGCATTAAGAGCAACTGTCAACATATTTTGTTAATCCAATCCGTGTTTATTACAGAGTTGGCTCAGTAACCTGTTGAAACATGAGGCAGACGAGCTACTATTCTGACGAGGCTGAGCAGCAAGTCCAGAGCTGCCCCTTTTAACCCAATCATATGGCGTTTATCCAACCACTTAGGGCTTTTTACTCGCCTCTCTTTGGACGCCGAGTATGCGTCTGCCTGTGTTTTTTGATTCCAAAAAGAATTTCTGCACACGATACAATGACCTGTTCCATCCGACGTTAATACGGAGTGTTGAAAAGTTTGTTAAAGTTTGCTGCACTCATGCCATCAGATCTATAAGAGGTTATTACAAAAAGAATTCTAGAAACATGAATAGCCCTGTAAAAAAGGTATGTGCACTTTTACCTGCTGCTTCTTGCTTCTTTTTGTTAAAATGAAAACTGCTTTAGCATATTTAGAGAACAAGTTAGCTTAAAACTTTTATTTCATGCCTCTTAACCTTCACACATAAGCTATGAATATATTGTGAAGCTTATATAATTTTATATAATTATTATTTTTAATAATGTGGTTTTCTTACATTTGTCTAAAAACCTCTGCTAATAACACGGCAGCACCAAAAGCATCCACGAGACCATCTGGTTGTCGGTCTTGCTGAACTGCTGCACTTCCCT